CACAAGGGGTTAAGGGAACTTCTTAAAGAACTCAACCCAGAAACAGCTCATCCAAGCACCTCGTTTTACAAACGAAGGAATTAAGCTCAGAAGGGAAAAGAGCCCAACAAAGGTCATGGGGCTAAAAACCATGCAGCAGAGTCTAGAGGCCTGGCCTCCACCCCAGCTGGGCACAGCATACACCACCAAGCCTCCTGCCATCTTCCCAACTACCCAACTAACGACCTCTCCAAAAGGCAGATTTCCAGGAGTCCGGGAGGTGATAAACGTAAGTCATTCATCACCCCCAAAAGCACACTTCCTGGAAATAGAAATGGATTCAGAAAGGATTTGGGCAAATCTGTGAATGACAGAACAGCCACAAATAGCTACTCGGAGAAGTCGAGCTCCACCTGACCTTTAGGATTGACGTCAAGGAAGATAGCTGTGGCCTCCAACGGTGGTATCTGAGGGACGGTGTTGGCACCCAAAGACTAGGTCAGATGGACCCGCCCCAGAACGGCAGTGTCCATGTGCTTATATGGCCTGGCTCAGGGTACTCAGGACTGGGCATCGGAAGGGAAGCTGAGCTCCTGACCCTATCCATTTATAGCTATGTGACCTTGGACAAGTCACTTACGGGCTCCAGAGCTCCTTTTCCTCGTCGGCAAGGTGGGGCTGAAAAAGGTCCACAATCCCTGATCCAAAACCTGCCGGTACTTCAGAAAGCCAAACTGTCCGGATTTTAGAAAGCTACTATGGGGCCCACAAGTGTTTGCCAGTCCCGAAGGAGTCTAGAGAAGCACTCTGTAATCAAACACATTAATATTTTTGCAGCAAAACATATGAATATTCAAAATAGGTGGGATAAATATAGCCTCCCATCAGTTCAGATCAGGTTTTGCCTCTAAACGAGTTGCACAGAACCTTTTCGCTTTCAGAGCTTTTCAGACTTCATATTCACAGATAGAGGATGATGGAGCCGAACCCACGTAGGGGAGGCTGTGGGGCAGAGAGAGACAAAGTCCTGAAAAGAGCCCGGCAAAGAAGAAAGTGCTACCACTGATCAAAGGCACTGTTAATATTACTGCTGTTGGCTGTCCTTTCTACACTCTTTCCCAGCAGAGCTGGGTTTGACCTCAGAGGTGTCTAAAGCCGGCAGAACGATGAAAGGCAACTGAGAGTAAGGGCAACAGCTAAGCTCCCCAAAGTGGCCGAAACCAAGGTCAACAGCTGCTGCCCCTCTACATGGTCAACCACTGAAAACAGAGCAGCTGGCCACCTGAGAGACCAAGGCGAAGAGCCAGGCAGAAATCTGTCATCTCAGCTATGTGGTTCACGCACCCTAGAGCTGGCCCCAAGAAGCCTCTGGGAAGGGCTGCACACGTGGGTCCGGGGAGCTGGCTGAGATCATTCCTTGTTTCCCGAGCATCCCTTCAGGAGCCCAGCAAGAGTTCCTACTGTGTGCACACAGGATTCACACTGTAGCCCGTCCAAGGGTCTGCTGGAGAAGATCCAGAGGCCCCCGGGGAAACAAGACCCGGCTCTGATTCTGCAGCACGCAATTCAGAAACACATTCCTACCAGGCTGTCTGAGCCTGGGGAGACTGGGGGCTAGGAATGAGGACTGTGTTCACACCTAAGTCAACCACACCGTCAGCTGTAATCTTAGCAACCTGTGTGTAACTCTGAGAAGGAGAAGTTGCAGCGGGCTCAGGTGAGCTGGTCCCCAGCTCATCCCTAGCTTATCAGATCCAGATAAGCCTACATGCAGAACAGCTCCAGCCTTCCAGAGACAGAGAGAGAAAAGAGAGATGAACCTAGAGAAGGAGAGTCCAATCCTCCAGAAACCTGCTGGGACCCTCCCTCCCTCAGATACTGTCCTAGAAAAGGTTGTGGCACCCAGAGCTTGCTCCTCACCTGCCTAGAGAATGCTGCTGGTCTTTCGGGTCTGCTGACCTTCTGGATCCTTCAGGTAAGTGAGCCCCATTTAATTTGCCCAAGGAGCCCTGCCCTGTCTTTCCATGGGTCCCTGACTCCAGGTGATGCTGCCTGTATGTTCTCGCCCAGCACTGCGGGGACCACCACCTCGCTCTTCTCTTCTGTCCGTGGCTCCAGCTCTCTCTCGCCAGCCTGGGACTGAGGCGACATAGTGACGGGATCCAGACCGAACCCTCCCTCCGGAGCCGCTTCCCTGACCTCTCCCCCTCTCTCCTCTCCATGCCCTTCTATTCCTCAAGGACCCGGGCAACAAGAACCGTGGGGGACTTCACTCAGCAACGCTTTAGTCTGTGGCTTAAAAGTAAAATAAAACGAAACCTGTAGCTTGTTGTTTTCTCACGTTCATCGCTGCTCTGTTTACACCCAATTGCACAACATCCGGACGCCAAAATCCCCCCTCTGACTGTTTGGTCTTGCCCTATTGCTTGTACTGGTGGTTGTGATGTGCGGGGAGGTACAGAGAAGAGCAGGAATTAGGCAAGTGGCACCTTAATCGGAGAGTTTTGAGGGAGAGAGAAAAAGCCTCCCGCAAAGTGCATCTGACCAGGAGGCAGCCACAGGAACATCTTCTCCCTTCCTTGACTTCTTCAGTCCCCGCAGCTTCCCACCTGAGGCCCTGCCCTCAGCTCTAGTCTCTTGGGCTGCAGCAGCTTACTTCCCACCCTCAGTCAAAAGCACATTTGCCAGGTCAGCAGCCCACAGCCAAGGATCCCTGGACCAGGGCCTCCCCATCATAAGCTCACAGGGACAGGGCCATTCTCCGCACCACCTCATGACCAGCAGGGCCCGGCGGGAAGGCAGCGCTGTGGACACTACACTCTAGAATTCAGCGTCAAAGGAGGCAACACGGAGACCTGAACAGAATAGGGGACCGAAGGGTCCGTCGTCATCTGCATGCTTACTATGTGCCACTCACTCGCTGCCCTAGGGGTTTCTGGATGTTACTGCACCAATTCAGCACCACGCTCCAGAGACCATCTCCATTTTAATTTTTTTTAAGTAGGCTCCACACCCAGCATGGAGCCCAACACGGGACTTGAACTCACAACCCTGAGATCAAGACCTGAGCTGAGAGCAAGAGTCGGATGCTTAACCCACTGAACCACGCAGGGGCCCCATCTCCACTTTAAAAAGAGTAAAACAAAGCTCAGAAAGGTTATATAACGATCCCAAGCTCCCATGGAGAGACATGGCTAGTCCCACAGCCCGTTCTCCAGGGAAGGTAACACAGCCAGGCCTCCGCCTCTCCCCAGAGGACAGAGGGTCCCACAGAATGGGAGCCTGGACCTCCTGGGAGGGTGGTATGTTCTGTAGCCCACCCAGCTATAGAGGCAACTATAGAGGCAGAAACAAAATTACTTTCCACCGTACCCCATTTCTCACAGCACGTATCTGAAAGAATTCACATCCGGAGAAGATGACAGATCTATCTGGTCAAGTTTGGGGAGGGGGGTTTCCTCTTTAGGAAAGTTTGAGCAAAAACAAACACATCCTCGGTCTATTTCTGAGTGGCACAAACATCAAGAAGACGCACCTCCCTGGCGGTTATTTTTCGCACCCGCCGGAAAAATTCGGCTACTTTCAGCTCAGCTGCACTTTCCACAAAGTCAGTCTCACGAGCCACCGATCAGCCAGTGTCGGCGCAGGTTCCGGCTGGGCTTGGGGTGATCAGCCGACCGCCAGATGCCTCTCCGGCCCCCACACCCACTCACTCACGCCCCCTCTCCTGCACCTGAAGCAAGAACAGAGGAGAGGGTGGAGGAAGAGGGTTCCGAAGGGCAGACTGCCCCCAAGATCGGCAAAACAGCAGGCGAGAGGGTGTGGAGATATTATTGTGGACAACAACAAAAGTGGCCTTCTTGACACCGTTCACCTGACCCGGGGACCAGAGGGTAAAATGATGGGCATATTGTTACAACAGATCCAAGTAAAAGCCAAACCCACTACAGATTCTGTCCGTATTCACTCCACTTAGGAAGAGCGATGCTCAAAACCCTCTGTTGTGTAGACGTGATCCTCTTCAGCACGAAGCGACTCCAAGAGGTGGCAAAGTGCCAGGAGGCTAAAACCTGAATTTGAATCCAACCCGGTCTCTTACCATCTATGTGACCCTGGGAAAGGGTCTTAGCATCTTCCTATGAGAAAGAAGAACACCCCCCACCCCGCCCAGCTGACTGCTCTAACAAAAACGTGACTCCACGTAAAGCACTCAGTATTGAACCAGGCATGCCAAAAGAGCTCAACGAATGCTCATCTCACAGAGAAAGAAACAGAAGCTAGAGGGGAGTCAGTGCTGGCCCCAAGTCGCATTTAATTCAACGTGAGTAGAGATGGGATAAGAATAAGGCTGCAGGCTGCAAAATCGAGACTCTCATACCCGTCCTTCCCCCTTGAATGTAAATCAACTCCCTCTAAATGTGTTTGCAGGGGCAGAGAACGAGGAGGGAGAGGAGGCAACACTCCTGGTGAGAAACGTTCCCCAGGAATGACGCGTGGAACCCGCAGCTCCTCACATGGCCAAAGCAGCATCAGCCCCTCCCGGGCTCTGGAGCTGCCCACTGCCGGCCTTGGCGGGGAGCACTCCCTGGGGACCTGGGCACCTGGGCACCTGTCTCCCTGAAACCCAGCAACATAGCCACGGCCAGGCCAGAGGAGACCCTCTTCCCCAATCCCACCTCCTTGTCTCCCTCCCTCCAGTTTATGAGTCCTCCAGGCAAAGGCGGCCAGACCCAACAGCAGAAAAACTAAATGGGAACCCAAACGCAGTAAGAGAGAAAAGAGCTGGGCCCCCGTGAGTTCCCCGATGCTTAGGAAAGACCCCAGGCCCTCTTGCCACATGTGAAGAGTATGTCCCTCACCCCCCAGCCAGGAGTTAGAAAAAGCGGGGGTTTCTTTACAAAGAGCAGGGAGTACTGGGGAGCCAGGCCCCAGGGCGCGGGGGTGGCTGGGTATGAAAGCAAGGTGTCCGAGCCAGAGGGCCGGGGCCGGGGCGTGGGGTGCGGGGCCGGAGAGGACCCTACCTATGCTGCTCCACAGCCTCGTTGTCGGGAAGCTCCACCCCACACACGCTGCACTGCTCCCCGATGGTCCGGCTCTCGGACTTCATGCCCACAGCCAGCTCCCCCAGCTTGTTGAACAGCTCCCGCTGGATGAAGCCCTGGGGCAGCAGCCCCCCGTAGGTGCTGAAGTCCATGGACACAGCCAGGGCAGGCTGCACGTGGAGGCCCGAAGTCACTGAGGATGGCATGCTCAACACGGCGTCAGCCTTGTGGTTAGGCAACACGGAATAGACGCCCAGGTGTTTCTCAGCTGGGGGCGCGGGGTGCTCGGGGCGGCCCGGGGGGCCCTGGCCAGCCTCGGCGGCAGGCAGCAGGGGCTCCGCGCTCTCCTCACGCCCATAATGCAGCTCCCGAGCGCTGGTGATGACACTGCTCCGAGTCGGGGTCCCGGGCCCCTCTTTGCCCCTTTCCTCAACTTTGTCCCCCACGGCGCCCGCCGTACTGGACTCGGTGGCCCCAGGGCTGTCCTGGCCGGGCACCTCGTCCACCTGCATCATCTCCGTCTTCCCCTCAGCCACCCCAGCATGCCTCCCGCCTCCAGCCAGAGTGGGCTCCTCAGGCCCCGCAGGAGGCTGAAGAGTTCCCTGGAGGAGAGACTGTCCTATGGTCATCAAACTGTCCACCGCAGCCTTGGTGGGACTCATGGCTGAATGACCGAATGAGGTGGAGACGGAAGGGCTCTGGTCCACCACGGGTCCCGGGAGGCTCTGTGCGGCCACACCGGCATACCCACTCTCCTCGCTGGAATGCTTCGAGATGAAGATGTTCTTGAGGTACCGAGCTTTGCGGTCCTCTTCCTCCTCGGCCGCGCCATCTGCCATGGTGGCCTCCGTGTCATTGTCATCCGAGGCCTGGATGGTCTCCAGGATCTTCAGGCACTGCTCCTCCAGGTACTCAATCTCTAAGATCTCGGCTGCATACAGCAGGTCATCCAGGTCCTCCGCCTTGGCTTGCAGTGTGGCCGTGTATGCGTACTCCAGAATCTGCTGGAAGGTCTTTGGCGAGAGGAAGTCCAGGGTATAGTGCTGGCTGTTGCGGTGGAATAGGATCTCGAACATCTTGCTGGTGCAGGCCAGCACAGTCCGGTGGGCATGGAACTCCTGGCTGTCCACCATGATGACCACATCACACAGCGTGCCGGCCAGCCGCATCTGGTTGGCCTTGCACAGGAGCCCCGTGGGGTGGCTGGGGTTCTGCAGCTGGATCATGCCCATCTTTGTCAGATCCATGATGCTCCCCTCGGCTTAGGCATGAGGCTCTCTTTCCTTCCTGGCTCTGCGTGGCGGGGCTGGGTGGGTGTCCTGGACCAACCGAGGGGGCTACAGGGGATAAGGGAGGGGCGGGAAAAGAGATGAGAGGACAAAAGATAGATTAGTGTCCCTAAAAGTAAGGAGTCAAACAACACAGCACCCGTATAGCCCCCCCAGTGAGACAATCTTGGTGGTTTTAATGCGGGGGTGCGGGGAGAAGGAAGTTTCCTAGAACCCTGCACACCTGCCTTTACGAGCCCAGGAATGAGGAGGGTAAAGAGAAGTTTCTGCCACCACACACGCTTCATTCACTGCTCTGTGATGGCTGTTAGATGAAGCGAAATGGGAATTACAGTGAAGCCTGTGAGTCCCGGGCTTTCTGGAAGTCTGAGAGTGGGGGCTCCGGTACATGCAACAAGGCCAACATGCGTTATGAAGAAGTGTCGGCCCGCACTTTAAATAAGAGTTTAACCCCTTCCTTTAGTCAGTTAAAGCCCTGGATCTCACTCTCAACCCCTGTGCAGTAAACCTCATCTTCTAAACAAAGTTCTTCGACGTCCTGCCTCACTGCGGCCTCAGGAGGAGCACAGGTAAGCCTACTGAGGCTCACAGCCTCCAGGCGGGGCCCACAGGAGTTTACGAGCAAGGGCTCTCCTTCTCTGGCCCTCCCAGGCCTTTGCCCTTCCCCTCTTCTCAGGGCTGCAAGGGACTGACCCCCCCCCCCCCCGCCGGCCTTAGGCACCAACGGAAACACACACACATAACCCTCACACTAGTTTGGCTTACTTCCACCCCTAGGTGCCTCAGAGCTATTGCATATGCAATCGGAAATCTGGACTGCGTGTGCACGGACATGTGTGTGCACGCAGAAGCCAGAAGGAGAGTTAACACGTGTGCAAATACTTCTCGGAGATGCCACACCTGCGTCCTGCCCACAAGTGCCCAGTGGGCAAGAGGATCTGTAAGATGCAGAATAAGTCATGAAAGACCTAGAGAGAAAGAGATCATAGGAAACATGCACCCCTCTGGCCAGCAGTGCCCATGCCAAGTACATGAACTCCAAGCGTGTCCCACAGGCTCCGAGGTCCTGTGTCCACGAGCAGCAATTGGTGTCGGACATGGCTTGGAGGCACCAGATGAGGTACTGGCACCAGAAGCTAGTTTGTGTGTTAAAAGCAGTATGAAGAGAGAACAGGCTGAGAGACAAAGGCCTCTCCCAAAGCGCTGTTAGAGGGCTCTGGGACTCCCTAACCGGTTTAAAGTGTTAGGAAGACATCACCCAGCCCCAGCCGCCGCTCCCCTCCCTCCCCGCCTCTGCCTTGCTGTGGCCAACGCTGCAGTGAAATGAACTGGAAACACAGCAGAACACAGGCTCTCCCTGGCTCTGGGAACACCGCTTGCCTCCGCCCCCAAAAGGAGCCCTACTGGCTCCAGAGCCACAGATCTCACGCAGGAAGGGTTAACAGGACGACTAGTCAAGACACTTTTGCTGCCCACCCTGGGGTGGGGACTAAGGCTGTCAAGAGTGGAACTGCCACTCATCCGCGCCTTGCCACCGTGGGTGCGCTTTCCTCCAGACCCAGGGGCTTCGGAGAACGAGGGGCCATCGAGAGAATGGAACCTGGGCCACTCAAATTCCTTCCCAAAAGCAAGCGCCCTGGGTCCTGCGGGAAATCAGGGTGCTCTCGGGCAGCCGACCTCCACCCACGGCTCCGCGCCCGGGATCCGGTGGGGGGGGGGGTGCGGGGGTTGGGGGGGGGGACGCCGGCGCTCACCCGCTCGAGCTCCGGGGATCGATCTTGCTCTCACTCGCCCCCAGTCCAAGCCACCCCCACGGAGACTTGGAAGCGACTTCAGCAAACTTGGGGAAGCAACTTTTCCCGGGGAGCCAGACGGCAGAGAGAAGAGGAGCCGGGTCAGGGAAGAGGGAAAGCGAAAGAGACCCGGACGAAAGACGAGAGTCGGGCAGGCTGGACGCCTGGGCGAGAGCGCGAGGAGGCGGACCCGCCCCGCGGTGCAGGGGCCGCACAAAAGCCCGACAGCGAGTTGTGGAAGGAAAAGCGAGAAGGGAGCTGCCGGCCCTCCCTCTCCGACCCGGGGCCGTGACCCCGGCAGCGACGGGCAGGGTGCCGGGCCGGGGCGCGGTGCGAGCGTCCCGGGGAGCGGGCGCGTGAATCGCCGCACCGCGCGTCTGTGCCTTCCGGTGGGTCCGGCGAGATGGTGCGCATTCCGAGCGCGTGCGGGAGCGTTCGAGGGGCTGTGCGAGCGAGCTGCCGGCGCGCCAGGCTGGGAAACGCAGCCCGAATGCATCAGGTGCAGAGCCGGGGCACCCACCGAGCGCGGCCCGGAGCGCACAGCGAGCTCCCGCGCCACGGCCGGTCCCGCCGAGAGCCGAGGAGGGCCCGGAGCCCGGGAGACCCTCCGGAGCTCCGCCGCGGCCGCCCTCCCCCCCCAAAACGGGTGGGGGGTCAAGTCCAACCAGGAAAAAAAGAGCCCACCACGTTTTTCAAAGAGAAAGCAAACCCAAGTGAATCCGAGTCCTGCTCCCCTCCGCCCCCAGATCCTCGCTCCTCGGATCCTCGGATTCTGGCTTCCCGGCCGGCCGGCGAATAAACACAAATAAACCACAACCCTATCGCGCCCGCGCACCGGTCCGCATACATATGAGCACCCACCGACTCCCGGCTCCTCCGCCGGCCCCTGGTGGTACAAAGCCTCCGGTTCCCCGACCCTCGCTCGCGCCTGCAGCCCCCGCAGACCGCTCTGCCCCCCACCTCTCACCCCGACCGTGCCCTAGAGCGGAAGGCTTGGGGAGGCAGCTGCGCCCAAGCTGACAGCCGGGGCTCCCCTCCTAGCCGACCCCCAACCGGCGGTGGCGACGGCTGCTGCAGCAGGAAGGGAACACGCCGAATAAAATAAGGCACAAGCCCGGCGGCCGAGTGGCCGAAGGGAGCGCGCCCCTCGGACCTCTCCAGCCCCCCGGCGCCCCGGCGCGCGCCTGCGGCTGAGCGGTGCGCCCCTCCCCGGCCCCCTACTCACCGCTGCCGAGCCGGGCGCTGGGGGTGGGTGTGCGTGCCTCTTGGGGGTGTGTGCCTGTGTCGGGGAGGGGTGTTGGCTGGGAACTGTTGCTCTCGGTATCACGGCGGCAGCGGCGGCATCGCCCGGCAGTTCGCAGTACCCGCTCTCATCGCCCTCAACTCCTCTCTGCTGCGAGGTTAGCAAATCACCACCGGCTGCGGCGCCTCCGCCGCGTCCCACGTCAACGCCGAGCCCCCTCCCCTGCGAGGCCCCGGCGCCTCTCCATCTTTAGTGCTGGCGGCCGAGCCCGGCTCGCTGCCCACAGCTGCCCCCCTTCCTCCCCCCCCTCCTCCCGCGCCGTCCCCAGGCTCAGCCCGCCCACCCCCACCCCCGTACTGGCCGAGCCCGCGCGCGCTCCCCGCCCCACCCCTCCCCTCCACCGCCTCCCCTCCCCTCCTCTCCCCTCCCCGCGCGCCGCGCTCCGGGCTTCGCCTGACATCTAGCTGCTGCTGGGGCGCCGGCGGCCGCCGCTCACCGGCCCAGCGGAGGGGAAAGGAGAAGGAGCTCGCGGAGAGAGAGGCCAGGGACTCGGAACCCTCAGTGGGGGCAATGGAGGTGAGGGGCGAGGAGCAGCCCCTACCTTCAACCCCAGGTTTTTTATTTCCTCTGGACAGGGGTTTTCTTCTTCCTTGCTGCCCCGGGCGCGGAGTTTCGTCCCCGGCTCCAGTGTTTGCCCCGATTCTGTGTGTGTGTCATCTCGCCTTTCACTTTTCTTCGGGCTCGGGGCTGCATCCCCTGTACCCCGACATCGGTTGCAGGAGGTCCCTTTCTCAGCCCAAGCCCAGGCCTTCTAATGCCTCCAGGTGTTGGGCATCCGGATTGCAAGAAGTCTCCAGGGGCGCGCATTTCGCAGGCCCTGGGGAGCCTAGTGCCAGAGGGTCCGCGGGGATGAGTCGTCGAAGGGAGCTCCCTTCCTCATTTTAGCTGTGGGGATCCCCGGAGGCGAGGTCGAGAGAGGAACTTTTATTCCTCTCAGTCTTGAGCATCCCCTGGGCTTTGACACCACCCCCCCCCCGCCCCCCACCCCCCACCCCCGCCCCGGCCAGGGAACCTGGTTGGAGACAGTTCCTGAGAACCTCGTCCTGCTCAGCGCAAAGCCTTCAGGGAGCGAGTGAACGCTTGAAAAAGCTCCAGAGCCCCCCCAAAGAGCCTTCTTTTCTCCGCTGGCCGCTCCTCTGTAGAGAGTGGAGCTGAGATCACCAACCTCGGGGTAGAGCAACCAGAAGAAACCTACCCTTCCGCTGGCGGCGGAGAGTCCCCTTCTCCCCCCTTTCCCCGGAGCTTAGCGAAGGTAGGGGGACCAGAGGTAGGAAGCTCTCTGATGAGCACCGGCCTTGGCGGCTGGCTAAGGTCCGGGATCGCTGTGGTGAGGTCGGTGGTGGAGAGCGCCCTCCCTGGGTCTCCGGACAGTCAGCCCGGGAAGTCCTACAGTCTTAGCATCGCAGGGCTGTTCAGTCAGGGAGACCTGAGTCCCCACACTCTGTCCCTGACACACTGGCGGGTCAAAGGTTTGCACAGGACTCACATACAATCACATTCCGATGCTTGTCTCCAGTACTGCCCCAGACCTAGAGTCAGGCCCCAAGAACGTAGGGTCATGGAAGGTGGCAGACACCAACTAGATGCAAAAATCTGCCTCTGGGCCACTGAAGGCCGCAGTGCAAAGTGCTCAGGCTCCCAAGAACGGCTAAGGGGGAACAGTCCCAAGGACAGGCAATTCCGTCCTTGTAAGAATGCTCCGGTCTCCTAGCAGGGAAAAAGGGCTCAGCCCTGCAGGAGTCAGAGGAGAGGAGAAGAGAGCAGAGAAACACACTTGGAAGGGAAGCAAGTCAATTACCCTCGGGTTGTCCTGAATACAGCAGCACCTAACCGATCCCCAGAAAAGCCTGGTGCCTAGGTATTCATTTTGATTAACAATAAAGAGCGATCCCGGTTATGGGCTGTTTTTCTAGCTAAGGTCGACACTATCTGCAAGAGGAAAGGCATTTAAAGGAAGTTTAGAAAGCACTGGTCTGCAAGGAGAGCATGAGGAGAGGGATGTAAGAAGAGAAGAAAGACCTTCCTAGTGCCTCACCAGGGAAAGAGAAGGAACGATCATTGAACTTGTTGAGCCTCTGCCCAGAGACGGTGCCTAAGGAAGGTTGCCGCCTTGCCATCCACATCCACCTACCAGCCCCTCCTAAGTGCAGTGGCAGGAGAAGTACACAGTTAACCCTTGATCCTAATCTCCTATTAATCCTCAAATCAGAGAAAGAGAGAAGCCTTGGAAACAATGGGAGAGCAAGAACAATCCCTCCATGGCCCTAGACTCCCCCCCACCCACTCCATGCCATATTCACTCGATGTGAAAATCTCCCCTGCTTCATAAACTCTGCCCATTAAAAAAGCCCAGCCCTTGTTAGTAAGTGTTAAAGAGAGATTAATGCCTGAATTTAAGAGGTGGAGAAGGTAACAAAAAGGAGGAAGGCAGGCGAGGCTGTGGGCTGAGAGCCAGAATTGGGCTCCAAGCATTTCCACTTAGCGCTGAAGGCTGGCTGCACAGCAGTTTGATAAGGTTTATTGGGCCCAGATAAAGCAGCAGCAGCTCCCCCACCAAAACTGGCACCGTTTATAGCCAGAGCTATGTCCTTGGGTCCCCTGAAGGCTGATGAGAATCCCCAGGTCAGAGATTTCATATGGCGGCACCTAAAGACAAGCAGGATGGAAAATTACAGGAGAAAACTCTCTCTCTCTGATTTCATGTATTTGTAGTTTGTTGTTTTGTTTTCTTTTTTTTACTTGAAGGATATGGTAAGGGAAACTGGGACATCAGTTCAGACAGGTCTAAAAATAGGAGAGACCTCAGTCTTACCAGATCATGCTAAAGACGGGAATAGATGAATTGACCTTTGAATAGAATTCCACGGTAAATCTTCTTATTCCCTCATCTCCTCCTTTATTCACATCCTTTCCACGGGTAGCAGCCTTTCAGAGTTTGTGGAGGAGGGGGCTATGTCAGGTCTAAGGGATCTTACAGGCAGGAGACAGTGGGAATAAGAACTCATTCTGAGCACTGACCATGAATCTCAACACATTACCTATCTTGTATTATTTAATCCTTGTTACAACCCACTCAGGCAGATGCTATCATTTTCCCCATTTCTCAGATGAGAAAACTGAGAGGTTAAGCGCCTTGCCCAAGGCCGCAGAGCTGAGGCTTTAAATCAGACCATTCGGGCTACAGAGCTCATGATCTTCACTTCTAGATGGGACAGCCTCTAGCAAGATAGAACAAGGAAAACAAGGGCTTTTGATTTTCCTCCTCCTCTTACTCCACTGAGGGGGAGAGCTACAAGCTGAGGACCAAGCCGGTCCCCACTGAATGGGGCCACCAGGTAAACAGGCTTAGGTCACCTTCCCTCCTTCTTCAAAATCACAGGCACAAGTTGAGGAGGGAGTTTTGAATTACAATAAAACTTCAACCAAACAGATGTCCAGGAAGAAGGCTGCAGTGGTGTTTTGAGTATTCTGTATTCTGATTGAGTGTTAATGAAATGTTGCAACTCATTTTGTTCCGACTCCTCAGGTGGAAAATAGTTGTAAAATTTTAAGGTAGACTTTCCTATCATGATAAATAAATCAAGGACTCCTACCTCTGGGGGAGAAGCAGCTACTTTGCATCCTAAAACCTTAAAGCCTTTTCACCGAGGGATGCAGACAGTGAAGCCCCTGAATGGAAAAAGTCTCCTCAGCAATTGAGAACTCCAAGTTGCCACTGGAAGACATACCAGGCTGTCACAGGCACCCTCAGCTCTCTGCCCCTCTGGGGACTCTTGGGGGAAGATACTGCAGACCTACTCTGGCCTTTCCTGGAGGCAAAGGACCTTACAAGGCTTCAAGGTCATAATTGCAGATATTTACTAGGTAGATGCAAATGACGTCAAAAACTAACCAAAATCAAATTTCTCCTCCCTGCGTAGGTGGATGGCTTTCTCTGGTTCGTTTTTTTCCTTAATTATTTTAATCCTTTCATGTCACTTTTTTAGATGCCCCCTCCAAAAAGAACAGAAGAGGGAAATAATCAGGTGACATGTGGATTCCGGTTAGTTGAAGGGCAGAAAACCAAATAAGAAGATGGCCTCTCTGATTAATAATTGTCATCTGTTTTCCTAGTGGAGTCCTGGCTAGCAGCCTTCGCCTCCAGGTGCTAAGCACACCCTTCCTCCTGTCTGTTGGGCAGAGAGTGACTTCTCAAAGGGGAAAGAAGAGGGGTTATTTTTTTTTTTAGCTCCTGGGGTCTTGGGTCACTGTGACCCCAAGATCTTCATGACTGAGAAAGAGAAAGCTTTTTCTCCTCTCTCTCTTCCCC